CTTTACGTTAAGTAGTAGGTTGTACGACTAATAATTAAGTAAGTAATAAACTAAGTAGTACGTTACGTAAGTAACTACTTAGTCGCGATAGTATATATATATATATATATATATATATATATATATATTGCACGAATAAATGTAATGAGATAGAAGAATAACAAAAATGCTTCTGAGAAAAAAAAATTAATAAGGACAAGTTTAAATGTACTTAAAATTGGAATATTTTTGGATTGTAATCCAAAAATCTTGTAAAAATGACTTTGACCATTTGGACAACTGCATAATTTTGCTATATTTTTAGATTGAAAGAAAAAAGTCCAGGCAAAAATTATCATTCAAAAAAAATTAAACTTTTTAAGATGAAAGGAAATAGGAAGGGGAAACCACGAGACTCAAAGGCCTACTCTGTTTCACATTCGCTGAATCCTAGCCAGAATTCTCGCCAGAAAAACCAGAATTCCCACTGGAAAAGGCGGGATTCTGGCCATGGAAGGCATTGGGAGAGGCCATGGCACCGGCAAGTAACTGAGAGAGAGCGGCACTCGGTTTCAGGATCGTTCTCAGAGGAAAATGAGGTGACCAAGGTCATGGGTCCTGAGCTTATATCTGAGACACCTTTGAAAAAATTCTCCACCGAAGAGCGACCTGGCAGGGTTATAGTGGGGCGAAGTTTGATGCCCCAGCTTCTTTTCCAGCCATGGCGGGTGATGGGTTACCTATAATTCACTGTATTCTTCACACCCCATTTTGGTTAGACCGTTAGAGAGAGAAAGGGAAGTGAAGTACCAGATAAACGTGAATTCCAACAGGAAGGGGGGAGAGAGAGAGAGAGAGAGGGGTGTGCAATTGAAGAAGTGAGAATGGAGAGGATGGACAGATGGGGCTAGATATCTGAAGGTCGTCTCTTTTCCTGTGGGCCTTTAGATGAGAGAGAGAGATTACCAATTGATAGAGAGAAAGAGAAAGAGAAGAGAGAGAGAGAAGGATGGGGGTTAGACTGAAAGTCGTCTCCAGGAGATGTGAATGGCTCACAGAGGAAGAACTGGGTCTAGATTCTAGAGAGAGAAAGACATATAGACCTAGACTCTAAAGAGAGAGACAGAGAGAGGGCGGATGGGTCCTGAAAGTCGAGTGGTACTGGGCGTCCGTGTAACAGTGGGAAAAACGAGAGGGATGATGGTGAAGAGAGAGACTTGGACTTGGAGGTCGTCTAGAAAAGACTTTTGGGTTTTTGAGGTCTTATTTCGAAGGTTCTTTTTGATAAATCAATTAAATTAGACATCCAACGTAATAAAATAAGACGAGAAGGTTTTCTAATTAAAGTGAAAAAACCTGCAATTTTTACTTGCAGCTGCAAAGCCAATATCATTTACCTGCAGGTGGTAAGATTTGTCACATTAATATCATCCTGATGGAACATGGTACACGCGTCCCTGATGGTTATTTTCAACAAAAAAAACAAAAATTTGGATGTTCTGATTTTTTTAGGCAACAGGCACATTGAGAGTAAGTAAACTTTTTATGTGTTTTTATGTTTTTGAGGTTTTTTTATCGGTTCTAGAGATTACATCCTGAGAATTTAGGATCTAAAAGATACGCCTCATGTAAGTTTTTCCTGAGGGAGTAGATAGATAATATACTCCCGCAGGACTGGAAAATTTCAGCTAATTTTTTTTCATTGAAACATGGAAGAGTTGTGTGCTTTTGTGCATTTTGTCTGTTTCAATGGAGTCCTCATCATTACAACAATCATTCCTATCTCTGGTAATTTGTATTGAAAGAATATTATGTCTTTCTTTTTAATTAGAAATTTAATAGATAATTATTTATTTAGACGTTAAGATATTGAATTCGTTATTATTTATTGTGAAGCATTTTTTAATAAGATTAATAAATATGAACTATATTTATACACAATAAAAAGATAAATAAGTCAAAACTTTTGTAAATGATTGAGGTGACCATAATTTACATTTGTATCAAATTAAAATGGAAAAAGTCTACATAAGGTACAACTTTATACTATTGTCCTATAGCGGATTGCGTTCGAGCTTAGGAGAACTCTCGAACTAATGATATCGATCTCGAAGAAAGAAAAGAATTTTAAGCCAAAAAAATAGTGCATCTTGTAACAAAATTTCTGAACGGTCTATTTTTAATACTTTTAAGTGTTTCTTGATCTACTCGATATGTATCATTTTTTTTAATTGCAATTTTATAACTAAGGATAAACTTGGATTTTGAAGCCATAATAAGGTTTTCAATACCGAAATGTTATCTCTAAGTAAACTTTATAGGTGTTCCTTACTTCTACAATATCAGGAGACAACCTTATACAAACTTCACCCAATTAAAATTGAAAAATTTTTATATAGAGCCGAGGCTCTTGACAATCAAATTCCTCAAAAATTTCACTAAAAGAGGTTGTTTTGATGCTCAAATATCCTCAAATTGATCATTTCGACATCAAGATGCATAGACATGAGAAAAAAATAGATTTCAAGTTTTGGAAATAGTGCATCTTGTAACGCATTTTTTAACCGTCTATTTTCAAGATTTTCATAGATTTGCTTGATCTATACTATTTTTGAAGTTTTAAATTTTATAATTAAGGATAAAAATATATTTTGAGACTATCGCAAGAATATCCATTATTGAAACCGCATTTCTTGACGCTATTTGGAGGTGCGCTTTACTTTGATTGTCTATAGCCTCGGCTACACAAACCACACTCATTAAAATATCAAAGATCATTATCAAACATATTTACATTTACCCCCAAAAAAATCATAATATATTAAGAATAATGATCCTATAAGACCCTCCCCCACCCATGTGTGTAGGACCCCAAAGGATCACCATTAAATTTGGCATGGATCTCTAGAAAAGTTATCACATGGGTGTGAGACTTGATTTTTTTAGAGATTATTGTCAAATTTAATGGTTATCCTTGAGATCCTACACACATGGGTGGGGTAGGGTCCTATAGGAACATTTCTCATATATTAAATACACATCTCTCTCATGCAATAATGTTTGATACTTTTAGTATTGTCTCTACGCATATTAGGAATGTATATATGGCTAAATCTCTCTTTATATCGCCCTCTATCTCCATCTTTATCTTTAGGGAAAGGTTTCTATACTTCCCCTACAGCATAGAAAAAATATGCTTCTTCTACAATCCGGCTGTCCAATTTTGATCAAAAGAGTCACTCGCCGTTTGATCTTAGATCCAACGTCTCAAAGTATTTTATTTTTAGTTTTTTTAATACACATTGTATGAATATGAAATTTGGTATGTGCCATCTTCGGCTTGGGGTGCACCTATAAAAAATATTAAAAATACTTTTTTTGATAAAATATAATGACCAAAATACTCCTTGAAACTTTCAAGAGTATTTTGGTCATTTTATTTTATTAAAAATATTTTTTCTATATTTTTCGCTAGTGCGAGTTTAATAGAGGATTGGACATCCAAAATTTGGTGTAAAAATAGTATATAGAAAACTTATTAAAAATAAAATAGTATAGAGACGTGACATTATGAATGGGGCAATCTTTGCCCTCCATTCAGAATGGATGGTTGGATAAGGGGAAGTATATAAATTTTATGCTGTATGGGAAACATAGAATGCTTGCCCTTTTCTTTATTCTCAATATATCTTTATTCTCTACATCATATTAGTAAAAAAATATTTATTATCAACTTCTCTCCTAAAATTGCTCAAAAAATTATTTATATCCATATATATATGTTATTTTCTCTCTCCATCTCTCTCCCTCAACGTACACTTCTTCTTTTTTTTTTTTTTTTTGCGACATATGTTCACCCCTTAACTCTGGTTTAATAATGTACTAGTTGAATTATGTGTGTTGCACGTATGCAATTACTTGTAACAGATTAACTAAATATTCAATGATCAATAAAATTTAATATTAAAAAAATTGATAAATCACAAATCACCTCTTATATAATAAGAATATTTAACTACTTATCATTTTTATGAAAATAAATTGTACCAAAACTTTGGTTTCCTCAAATCATGTTTTAAGGGATTCTTTCTTTC